TAATTGTAAAACTATTACAAACATTTAACCAGTATCTTCCCAATTATTTTATTTACAATATAACCCCGCTAATCAAGACGATGGAACCCTGTTAATTCGAACTGATTCATTAAAACATCCACAGTTGCAATGTTCCTGTTTAATGAAATACGTTTACGGAACAATGGATTTACCATTCAGAGGCTCCAAACCGAAAGTAGAGTTTCCAGATTAACCAATCCGGATTAGTCATGTGTCACTGTGTTATGAACGTAATTCTCAGATGATATATTCTGACAATAATCACTGTTTGACGGCGGAAATAAAATGCAGTGAAGAATCAAACAAAGAGTTTTGAGTTACCGGAAACAATTTTTCTCTCCAGATGCCCCCGCTAAACTCTTCATGCCGTTTAACTGTGGTTTAAAACATTTTTGCAGGCATTAAACGTGTGAACTCGGAGTCCGTTAAGAAAATTCAAACAATGGAAAAAATGGAAAGACACGGTGTAATTGAGCAAAACGAAACTGAAATCAACCTCTCCAATCGATGAAATGAGTAATCAACTTGAAACTTTTTGTTCAGATCGAAAAAGACAAAATTGGGTGTTATTTTTTCAAATGAATTTTAATTGTAGTTGGACTTGTTTTCAGAGCACGTAATACCATATCACACTTCACTAACCTCTCCCCAAGAGTGCCTGTTTCCCGACCACGCTTTAACCGAGCCATTGTTTCATTTCTAATTAAAAGTACTGTATTATCATCAGTTATTAATATTATTATGGTCAAAGAATTAACGACATGTGAGCAAGGCAGAGTTCCAGTTGTAGTCAGACGTCGCCTCTGCACGACAACGTAATGACTATAGAGGGCTGTTATTCACTGAAATTTACATATCATTTAACGCAATTCTCGTGACGACTAATGGATTAAAGTGAGCAGAAACTCGCAATTTTTAAATCAGCGCTGGTGAAAGCTATAGTTAGTGCTATCACATCCGCGCCTTCTCCGCGCCAGATCTCAGGAAAATTACACGTCTATTCCAAGACCTTCTCGATCACAGTTCTAAACTAATGGGCCTTGCCTCTGCCTTGCTTTAGGCAACATGTACCATCTTGGAATTAACTTAAGAGATTTGTTTATGTTTCACGTGTTAAAGGTCCTTAAGACTCCCGATATCTGGGAGGGACATTTATCACAAGTATGATGATGCCAGTGTTACCACCACCACTATTATATAGCGCCCCATGATTTTGACCCTCGTTCAAGCCTAAACAGTCTTTCGCCAAACGGCTAATCCATGACCGTAGCTTGGGTTAATTACGCTTTTAACTCCGTTCATTTGTTACCGTTGATGACGTTGCAACAAAGGCTTCAGGACAACGACGACACATGGGGTCGCACACGTTATCTGTTAGTTCAATGGTTTCATTTTCTATTTGTTTTCTCTTCACACGTTTCAGATACTAACACGCTGTGAAACCCTTCGTCGTTTGCTCTGCCGTTTAACCGGGGTGAAAATTGGTGTTTGTTTTGAAAGCTTACATCCAAATGATGTCCCTGCTGGGAGCTTAGACTAACACACGTCATCGGTGACACACAACACACGTCAATGTGTGTCACTCCAGTACCACCGAGTTAGACCATCAGGAAAATTACCTGTCATCGTGGACAAAGACAGGTTAGAGTGAGAAAATAGTCGTTAACAGGGGCTAGTTAGACAGACACCCCTTAAACTATTGTCAATGACCCCAGGGGACAAACCCCGACCCCCAAACCTCTCCTCCGTCCAGATCGCCGGGAGGGAAAGTCCGGTTAAATATGCCCGACCCCAACAGCTTGGGTCAGTTATTGTCTTTATGCGCAGTCCTTGCCAGGCATCGGCTGTGCAGACTTTCTCAAGTGGACGATTGTTTCAATTTGTTCAGCTCAAGACTAATTCAGTCATTAGATCGAAAGTCAGTAAGTGTTGTCCCCAGAGGCCCCGCTTCACAATGTGCCTGGGCTATCATTTGCTGGTTAGAAGCTCAGCGGGATTCGCCACTTGATGGTCGATTCGATAACGCGGCGTGCGAATAAATATACAAACGCTGTGAGCGGTAATTTGTTTACAAACGTAATTAAACTGTTAATATTCCGCATTATTTCGTCATCAAAATTCCATAGATGCTGTGTTTATTTAGCTTCGGTAATATCACACTATTTGATAGCATCCACATTGCTGGGAAATTCTAGCATGGCATAAAGTCGTGTCGGGGAAGTCGTAATTATGTACACGTCGCCAGCCGTTCTCGTAATATTATCAAGCCGATATAGATTAGGACATCAATTTGTCTGGAGGCAACTTTTTGCCTGTTAGTTGTAGAGCCGTACAGGGATCTACTGTACTCGCCGTGTCAAGTATTCCCCAGCTGATATGACTGTACATAACGTGTCTGTTTACAGGACCATTGTGTCTTTGTTACTGTGTGGAGGCGAGAGTTTATATATAAGTCAGGGAAAATAAACTTTTTTATTGGCACACAACTGGTTAGTTGAGAGGAATTGGAACATAATGGGTCACTGTTTCCTGCGCTGATATAAATATGCTGATTTTCATCTTCTGAGGGAGATTGTGTTTCTCTGGTGGCGTTTCAATATGCTGTGTATATGTCAATACAGTGTCTCATTATTGCAAATACGCGTAAGTGAACAACTTTGTTTATTTAATCTAAATATCTATTTAATCCTAGAAATCTCTGAGTCCTGCTGATGAGGTAGAAAGCAGTAACCACTACACCTCGCATAGACAGCATTGCAAATATTCCGAGTCTACATAATAGTTCCACAATGGTAATGCCAAATGATACTCTCTCTCTCTCTCTCTCTCTCTCTCTCTCTCTCTCTCTCTCTCTCTCTCTCTCTCTCTCTCTCTCTCTCTCTCTCTCTCTCTCTCTCTCTCTCTCTCTCTCTCTCTCTCTCTCTCTCTCTCTCTCTCTCGCATGTAGATCACCACCCCAATGAGTATTTCCCCTTCTTTTTTCCTCATCCCCATTTCCTTTCCTCATCCCCACCCTCCTTTTCCCCTACTCCCCATCCTCTGTGGAAGCTCCATCACTGGTAAACATCGACACATGCATATAGTACTTGCTGAGTACTCTTTGGGAGGGCTAACAAGAATTAATCCAAAATGGCCCATATAAAGATGGCTACTCAGTGACGAGCTGTGGTCAGCTGATTTACTGCCAGGGCATAAAGTGACCAGTGCCTCGAGCAGGTCATCGCATAGATCCTAGTGACCATTCATCGGTAACAAGTACTCTTCCTGAGATAAACACGCCATATTGTATTTCACAATTTAACCATCCCATAATCTGTCAGCATTAAATGCAAGATGTCGTAGGGAGATTATGAGGGTGAAAAAGTTCGGATTTCTTTTTAACACAAAAGGCGATGATGTGCCCCATTCAAGGATACTCTTCTGTTCTTCTGTACACACTTAACAATAAAATGGTCAATTAAACTATGATGTTTCACCCGTAATGTCAACTACCAGTGTAAATGTCCCAGCGCCAGTTAACCCAGGATCTGTGAAACTTAGAATGACGCAAATTGGGGATGCTTAATTCTCCAAAATCTCATCCCCGTATAAGGATTCCAAGCGAATATCTTGTCTGCATAAATGCACCGGATCACCTCAAGCACGGTCATAATTTATTGGTCATCCGAGAGTTTAATGTGAGGATTCAAACACGAGATACATTCAGAGAGGGCTAAACGTTCTGTTAACCCACAATCCGAGAAAACTACACCGTGACAACGCCTTCACCATTGTCGCTCGGGATTACCGCGTTCACGGTGTTACTGATGCCGGCTTACAGCCGGGATAGACATGGTGTACATATTGTTCTTGTTGTTAGGTATTGTCCGGCGAAGATATAACTGACAAACGATAGTGAGGAATTACGACTGAGTTTTCAACAGTTAACAAACAGTAAAGTGGCTATTTGAAGGAAAAATGTATATTGTCAAATAAATATCTGATTTAATGGTGATATTCTGTTCGTGTGCCATTTTGTTCATATTTCACAAAGGTGAGTAATTTATCATTCATCACTCACTCACTGACAGTGACAGTGACTCTTTCAGCGAGGGATGGGGCCTTGCAGTGTGCGCATATGTGAACGATCAAACGGTTCTCTGTACAGAAAGACGCTCTGGCTTCAGAATACTTTTTAAAGTAATAAAATGGATATTTTACCATTATCATTCGTACAAACATCAGATTCTGTTCATTACATGGGATATTCCATCTATTCGAAAACCACAATATGTGACATATTTTCTTCCAACATTTTATCCCCGTAATTCTCAACATCTTTGAATGATTTCATTCGTGAACCGATTAAGTCTTGATATTTCTACTTTTCATACAACTCACATTTGCAACGCTGACTATATATCTTCAAAATATCTTGATATACTGTTTTTTCTTCTGATGATCCATCGGTGATATCATTCAGTCAGTCTGATGATCCATCTTTGCAACCACATGCGTGATATGTTTGGAATAAGCTAAAATCGACATAAACGCCAACTCACTCACCCATACTTCATTGCTGACTTTGTTTTGAGCAGTATTCCGTATTTTGTGACTATCGTATATGTGTTGATTGATCGGCATTCTAGAAGATGGTGAGTCAAAAATGAAAAACCGTTTTACATCGAAACGGCTGCTCTGTCCAATAAACAAGAACTTGTCATCCATAAAGTTGTAGGTTCATTTTTATAGTGTATCTGGTCGGGTGTGTGTGCATGTGACGTTGACTAGTTAAGGTTAGCGACCTTAGAACAGCGAGGAAGAATAACAATATAAGGATGAACAACTGTATTACAGTGACAGCGACGTTTCGGGGTAGGTTCTAACACCATTTTCAAGCAAGTGATTTCAACCACATATTGTTATCCTTCCTTTGTTATCCTTCCTTTGTGCTCCAACGTTTAAATGGCCCTCAAAGAAGTTGTAGAACAGTTGCCTACCTTCCGCTCTTTGTGATTATCATCTCAGTGCCGAGTTCGTGGAACTTGTCCCAGAGTTCCTTGGTCTCCAGTCTACAGTGGACGTTCTCAAGTTCCTTGCTGCCGGTAGATGTCATGGTGGTCTTCTCCACCTTCTCCTTCTTGATGACCTTGATGTCCGGCGGAGGAGATGCTCGAACATCGTTGGACTCGACCAGACGTTCTGGACCTAGAGATGGACATGTTATATATGCATAGATATATTGCATCACAGAGACACATGTAGACAATCATATGTACTGAGACACATACAGGAGCACGTGTATAATCATATACACTGTGACATGCGCAAACATATACACAGACACATGCACAAACATGTATACAGACACATGTACAGAAAGACACATGCACTGACTGACTGACTGACTGAGTTTGGTTTTACGCCGCTTTTAGCAATATTCCAGCAACATCACGGCGGGGGACACCAGAAATGGGCTTCACACATTGTGCCCATGTGGGGATTCGAACCCGGGTCTTCGGCGTGACGAGCCAACGCTTTAACCATTAGGCTACCCCACCGCCCCGACACATGCACAATTCTATACACAGATGCATGCACAAACATACATGCAGACACATTTACAAACACATACAGAAATACATGCACAAACCTATACAGAGATACATGGACAAACCTATACAGAGATACATGCACAAACAGACACACGCACAAACACACACACATGCACAAACATACAGACACACGCACAAACACACATGCACAAACATACAGACACATGCTCAAATATACACAGACATGCACAAACATACAGACACATGCTCAAATATACACAGACATGCACAAACATACAGACACATGCTCAAATATACACAGACAGACACACAAATATACAGACACATGCTCAAATATACACAGACATGCACAAACATACAGACACATGCTCAAATATACACAGACATGCACAAACATACAGACACATGCTCAAATATACACAGACATGCACAGACATGCACACAGAAACAAACGTACAGACACATGCTCAAATATACACAGACATGCACAAACATACAGACACACACATGCACAAACATGCAGACAAATATACACAGACATGCACAAACATACAGACACATGCTCAAATATACACAGACATGCACAAACATGCAGACACATGCTCAAATATACACAGACATGCACAAACATACAGACACATGCTCAAATATACACAGACATGCACAAACATACAGACACATGCTCAAATATACACAGACATGCACAAACATACACACACATGCACAAACATGCAGACACATGCTCAAATATACACAGACATGCACAAACATACAGACACATGCTCAAATATACACAGACATGCACAAACATACACACAAACACACACACATGCACGCAGACACATGCACAAACATATATAGACACATACAGGATCATATTTACAAAGACTCATCAAATCAATTGCATAGAGGCAATTAAATACTCTCTCTTACACACACAGGCATACATGCAGTAAATACAACCGTATACACATGACTAGTCTGTCTCACAGTCCCTGAACCACATTATTTTCCCAACTGCCAAGCTCTCTCTGCAGTGCTAAAGCCCTAAATAAAGCAAGTCTAGATTTCCTCAGGTTCTGAATCTCTGGTCTCCCTGGGGCTCCTTTTCAATTTAAATGGGTTTGTTTGTTACTATCAAAATTATATATATTCAGAGACTAAGCATTAGCCTAATACATGACTGTAACACACATTTATGTGCACAGAAACATCCTCACATTCTTCTATACAGACATATAACTTACTATGCGCAGAAACAATGATGTACATACGATGGGGTGCACCATGTTTGCTTAAACGTTACTGTTTGCAAATAACGTGAACACCCTTTTTACCACACAATTGTTCAAGCCTTTTTAAACCTTTTTTCTAAGACCAAATCCAAGGATTCTTAAACAATATGAAGTCCACAAATGTGTGTGGGGTTACTTAACTTAAGCTTGGCGTTTGTAAGTCACCTTCCTCCCGGGAAGCACAAAACTTTTCAGATTAACAGAGAGTCGACGAATTTCTTATCTGAAAATATCATGCTCTCCTCAAATTTTCCTCTGATTATATATTTGGAACTGAGCTTGCTAGACTTAGCTATAATCCAGGTTTGGGTTTCATGAAATTCATATGTCCAGTCAAAGTGCAGAACTGCACGCCTTAATCTCATCTTGACTTGACAACGATGGGGGTATTGAGGGTATCAACCACTACATTACTATTGTTTAGGAACTGACCACTGCATCGTCATTCTCATTCCTGTAGTTGCTATGGAGAAACAAGGTGGAGGACAGAAATGGGAATATCCCGCAGAGATATCTTATGATACTGACAAACTATATCATATCAAATTATAATATGATACAAAATGTATATTTTAGAACGGATTTATTAAAAGGATCATGTGAAATAAAAAGAGATGTTTTTCATTTCTTAGGTTGGAATGTTATAATTACATTTGGTTGGTATATTATCAAGAAGGAAATATTTTACCACTATGGTAATATCATTACATTTTTATCTATTTTCATGTCACGTAATTACTTGAATAAACCATGACGTTTATGGAAAGTGTGTTTACGGCTACATGTTTACAACCAAACTCATAATGATAACTTTAAGTTCCATGAATAAATACTTTTATCTTCCATCAGTCTTGACTTCAAGAAGCTTACTCCCTAACCCTTCCATTCGTTTTTCGTTGTGAGGAATTTGTAGCGAAGCATGTGTATATATGTTTTATTGCTATAAATATCTTAAAGCCGTCAGTGAAGTGTTCGGGGGAAAACATTTTTGTACATAAGACATTATATTTTACAGCAATAATTATAAAAAAAATGCTGGAATTAACTGGGCAGAATATATCACGATTTGTATTCAATAAAGAAATCAGAAAGTAATCTTTATAATTGTATAATCTCTTGATATTATTTCTTTATAAAAGACATCCCGGTTGTCTTTTCCGAATATAGTGTGAGCACAGTCATTTAAAAACTGTGCAATATAATCAGAGGCAAGTTGTTAATGTATGTATGTTAGTACTGAGATGAATTAGATGAAACATGTTATACACCAGTATTGATGGTATTTCATCTTAATGCATTAACAGTTAAAAGCGCCTATTTTTCTAAACACTGATTCGGTATGCAATTTTACAAGATCGTAACATATTTCAATTTTCATCAAAACATATCCTGTTTTATTAGCTTGTTAGAAACGTATTTGCGATATGTAATCATAAATTAAATATTGAATGTCAAAGCCAGAAAATAACCAGTCTCAATTTTCCGCCGTAGAAGATGGCATTGTGCGTTCAAGGTGAAATAGTTGTAAAATATTTATGAATGGGTCAGCGACAATCAGTGAGGACCTGGCAATCACCTGGCAATTCAGTAAGCCTGTGCTATCCAACCGGCTGCACCTCGTGCAGTGATAACATTACTTTAAAGTATCTCCTTTTCTATATATTCTATCGTTTCTATTTTGAAAGGATAATATCGTTACACAGCTTTCTTTAAAAATATACCAAACCATTCTCCAAACACCCATTACGACCGATACACTTCGGTAAACAGCAGGGGTGTGATAAGGAGAGAAAAAACTGGGGTTTAAAACAAGCCAAAAAATGAAAAGAAACTTGAAACACGAGCTTGGCAGCGGGTTAACAATCCGCCGACTGTATCATCCGACGCCATGTATAACAAATTTGGCAAGTGAGACAATCATAATATTTGCCTTCAAGGAAATGCGTTTCATTTTACGCTAATTCCTAACACTCGCAGAATATTGCCTTGTGTAAATATAGACTAAAAGTTGGGATTGTGTAGGAAATAGATACATATATTAAATGTATTTAATACTTTCTTTTGATATTTATTCTTGGCGTGTTTGGTTTTGACATGCATGTAAAATGAATTGCTGACGATATAATGAATCGTGCGTGCATTAGTTGTTGTGTGTATAGTATCTGAATAGTAAAATCCACGAATATGCATTACAACGCTTAACATTGAAACAGGACATCAACATATCTTATTGATAGATAATACTAAACAACAACATGAGAAAATCAGCCACACAATTTTGTATTAGAATAATATTTTTTGTGCGATTTTTCTTTCCTGGAATTGATGAATTAAAATTGGTTATTTATTTGGTACATAGTCTCAAAACTATACACTTGACTTATGACTGTAAATGTTGTTCGTTTTCACCTAAAAAATATAAACATGGCCATAACATGTTTGTATATACTTAGATCTATCAACCTGATAATCTAAGCACTCGCCATTTTATATACATGTTAGATGGTTCATTTTTGGCGGTTTGTTTTTAATGCACATATATGGTAGTAATGTTGAGAGGGACTGTAACGCATAATTTAAGAGAACGGAAAGTGAAATTAATAAACGTACCTAATGGTGAAATTTGAACCTTGCTTTCAGGAATAACTTTATCAGTGTCGTCTGCTTCCGTGGAGCCGATGATAGCTGCTATAGAAAACGCCGTGGCTTTAGACGATAGTTGTGGCTTAACACTTGGGGGAGAATGCGGCAGCGCATCTTTCTGTCTGTCCATACTTTCAGGTGTCCGTGGATTTTCTGAGACACTCATTCTCACACGGTCGTGCTTTTTACAATCAGACTGCAGAGCATGAGGAGTCGGGTTTCGTCTAGCAGACGACACTTGTGTCTGACAACGCAAAAGGCAAGCTGTTCAAACGCGAGGTTCGTCTCTTCAGACAAGACACTGACAATTCGTCCCACAGTGGTAATGAAGGTGCCAAAATGTGCACTCCCAATGGCATTCGGAATACACTCGGAACTGTAAAATCGAACCATGTATATCTCCTACTGTTATCCTGTCAAGTATGGCACCGACAGCTTAAGTAAGCCTCGTTGTGATTGGTTCGCCCGGCCAATCCCTTCGCCAACCATAAAGCACTTGAGGGAGGGCCTGAAAGCAAACAGTTGTATTGGGTAGCTATTAATTGGCGGACAGAACAGCAAGATTTTCAACACTTAGTGTAGTTGTAACTACCCCAGGCAACCCTGGGGAGGAGACGGGGGAGGTTTGTGGTCTTTAAAACTGGCTGTTTGATTTGAAACAGATCAGTGAGATCTCCCAACACTAGTCTGAAACCACCCTCCATCTGTTCGCGAAAACTCAATACCCCCCTGCAACCTCGGCCGCGTTGAGCGTGGAAATCAAGACAAATTGATCATCAAACAAAAGCTATTGTAATACAATCATCTCGATGTAATTTTCTAAAAACGGTTAGTTTTGTTCCAGGAATTTTCTGCAATGTAAAATGATTAGTTATTATCCTTTATATTATTTTTCTATTTGCTATAAATTCATTTTAGCTGTCAATTTCACATTTGGAATCGCTACTAGTGCATAAATCACGTCCATTTATTTCACCAGTGTAAATGGTCCAGCAATGTTTCCTTCACCCGACTGGGAGTATATCACTGTTTCATATCCTCAGTTTGATTGAACCTTTGTTTCCTTAAAAAAACACAACGATGCAATGTTGCATGATGTTGTTTGTAATAGAACATCTATCCCACGTGTATCCGCGAATAATCAGGATTCTGTATCTAAAACTTGCGATTCTTTAGGGAGGAGACACATGTCTAAATCAATTAAACATTCACCCATTCCTTCTTTGCAGACACCTACACAAATTCCTGAAGTATACAGCATTATTAAAATCAACCTTTGTGAAATACGAACTGACCGGTATGAACAGGGTGTGCATTGCATCTTGGGGTAATTAGATAGAGGTAAATGCTTTTAACCGTGATTGTCTTATTTGTTTCAGTTTCACTACTTTGGAATATGAAACATGAAAAACCCACTGTAATTACCCGTATGTGGGTTGTATCGATATATTGTTTCACTATTGATAGCCTCGAACTAACAATAGGGGATGGTGACCAAGCTGATCAAATTGATAGGCAGGTTAAATCAATATTTGTCAGAGGTATCTAATCTTGTACTAAACTAATGACTAACGATGAAGTATATCATTATCATGGCTCTCCATCAGCAACCGAGTAGATGACGGTAGTTAAATGACCTACCTCGGTGTGGTAATTACACATGCAGAAATATACTGCTATTTTCACTTTCCCTGTTTACGAATAAGCAGATGGAGATGGTGAAATATATTTGTGTCTCCATTTGCAAGTTCATAAATGTAATAAATTTCAAAATGCTGGGAGATGGTGAAATATGATGAAGACAACGTTTTTCCTCATTGCCATGGTGATGGATTTAAATGCAAGGAAACTCAAGTGTACTATTAACTAGAATATGAACTCGAAATGCAGGCTTTGTATGACGTCACTTAAATGAATAATTACGCAAAAATGACGTTTTTGTCTTGAATATTCAATATAACAAATGACTTTAGTATGTTCTACTATTTAGTTATTTGGCTTTATTCTTACAGTGACTGAGAAAAACAAATTAACAACAACAACAAAACAACAAAAAAACAAAACAAACAAAAACAAAACAAAACAACAACAAAACAACAACAATAAAACACAACCAAAAACACTCGCACATTAAGAAGAGAAAAGAACTCAGAAAGTGTAGTGATGAAAAACGTTCCCCTCAATATGATAATGCTCTATACAGTACAGAGAAAGCGACAACATCCTTTCCATAGCCATAAGAAATCTCTGCCAAAAGCGGAGTACATTGTATGGTACTGTGCCATACACTTGTGTTGATCCATAAACACATGCTCACAATCGACTCTACTTTTATGGATGCAGAAAGGGTTTTGTCGCTTATATCAATTTGAGGAATCACTATGAAATAGAGATGACACTAGCTGTTCGCGAAAACGTGTCGGATCCTGCTAAACCGGCGGCAACTGTCATAAATACATATAAAGCAAGTCAATATTCACTTTAAAAGACCACGGTAAGATATAGTACATGTCAAAGTCGTGACCTGTATCCGACATCAGTTTTTGTCACTGCGTCGATTTTGGAACACTTTAAAACTTCCACTATAACCATCATCCCCCAGAACGTCACCGCGTAACCGTATCAAGTGTACAACGTATCTTATGTTAATCAAGGTGATGAATACAATGTTAAGTTTAATGATTATATTTAAAACACACGAATCTAAACATCTCTCTGCTGAATCACACTTAAATTAAGCGGCTACAATGGTTTATGTACCTATGTAATGACAGTTTAGCGTCAGTGTTATCAATAGAAGCCACAAAACTGTTTTCCACATCCGTAAAAATCTCTTCTAAAAGCAGAGTCGATTGTACAATTGTGACCATATCATGAGTATATATTTGTTTCAGCAGTATTACAGCTGTACGATGTTGTTTGTAAACAAATCGAGTCAACACTTTCGCATTTTGTTTTGTAATCAAACGTTCACTATGATTATTAGCCGGACAATTAAATTAGCATTAACACTCACACCAGAAAGATGGGTCATACTAAAACCAGCAGCATTGTTAATATAGCAGGTTTTTATTCAGCTGTATATTCAGCTGGACGGAGTGTTTGAAACAACGAATTTCCAACCTAATTTCATTAATAATATTCAGTGTAATATTTATTTGTAAATGCTCCTCTAACTTGTTTGTGTCAACATTTGATAATACGTTGTCATGTAGGGCGAAATATTGTAGTGATGAATTATACAAAGTTGCAGTTGCTATCATATAAATGTTTCTCACGCACAATTTTAAATATATACTGTTTCTAATATGATAGCATACATTGCTATAAGGATCATAAATGTATGCTATCTTTTATTTGTATGCTATTTCTTAATTTCGCTTTTGTCTAACATTGCCTAAGATACACATATTTTTCTATTTTTTCAATAATCCATTCATAAACTTTTCACAGCCAGTTTGCCTTCAACGCCCAATTAAATCTGTAATGGCGGATAATCGAGCCTGGTTAATGTCTGGCCTTGACGTTTCATATGGGCTCATACAACATACAAGTATATAATACATTTTTTTATGTAAAGCCCCATTAATATGTCATCATGCACCGTAACCTATTCCAATTACCTGCCAGCATTGTCTGACGCGATTTACACATCAAACAGTGTCTGAACAGTTTAAACCAGTGGGGTGGCCCAGAGGTCTAAGTGGTCGCTGGTCACGCCTAAGACCCAGGATCGATTCCCTTCATGTGTACAATTTGTGAAGCCAATTTCTGGTGTTCCCTGCTGTGATATTGCTAGACTATTGCAGAAAGCACATCATCTATTGAGTATATCCAACAGCTTTGTTCGTTATTGGGAGGATGTTGGGTGGTCCTAAAACGTATTACTCCTGCATTCTAAACAATTATATCATACTGTGAATGTCTGTTATAGACATCCGCCATGTCAGAAAGTTGTTCATATACGGTGGAAATGAGAAGTGTTTTCTAAATGCTCTACGGTTAGTCAGATATATCACGGATATTGTGGGCAAATGTCTACATAATATGCTTTGCCTTTATGTTAGTGAGTGAATGAGTGAGTTTAGTTTTACGCCGCTTTTAGCAATATTCCACCAATATCACGGCGGGGACACAGAAATGGGCTTCACGCATTGTGGGGAATCGAACCCGGGTCTTCGGCTTGACGAGCGAACGCTTTAACCACTAGGCTACCCCCACAACCCTCGTTATATTAGTATTGATCGGTTGCATTTTGTTATTAAACCAGCAATGTCATTCTGAACGCATATAATGTCAAGAGAAATAATTGCACAGCTGTTTCAGTGAAACAATTATGATGATAAATGCATAAAATATTCAAATTATTAATGTGTTGGACCCGTAAAGATCCGGGTTGAAATTGGTTTTCAGCAACCCATGCTTGTCGCAAGAAGCGAGAAACGGGATCGGGTGGTCATGCTCGCTGACTTGGTTGACACATGTCATGTCGTATCCTAATTGCGTAGATTGATGTTCATGCTATTGATCACTGGATTGTCTGGTCCAGATTGGATTATTTACCGACCGCTGCCACATTGCTGGAATATTGCTGAACAAACAAAGAAAATATTTAACTGAGGACAAAAATGGAAAGGTCTGTTGTTTAAGAGCATATAAACATCAGTCATTCCTACAACAGAGTGTAAAAAAGGTAACCTGTAGCTATGTAATTTAGTGTTAAAATACATTGGTTCAAGGAAAACTGGGGTTAGCACTGAATTTACAACTACGTGTCCCCTACCTAATGTGAAATGTACACTTGTGCCGAAAATATGCTCAAACTTTCTGGTTGGTTTTCCAAGTTTCAGATACCTATCAGCATTTGTGCATAATGAAAAACATTTTATTTAATGTTTACAAAGTTCTAAATCACGTTTGAAAAATACAACATTTAGAAGTATTCTTAGAGTGCTATAATTACACAGTTAATTATTGTGTATGATATCGCTATCGATATTATAAATTGAAAATATAGCATATGTTTAAACAAATGAGAAGTAAACGTCATGTTGCTGTAGAGTATAAAATGTTGTTTAGTACAAAACTATTTCATATTTCCAAAGTCTTTTTATACTAAGCAGCAACGAATGTTCATCCTGCCAGGGGTATGTGTCTGCAGGTATATTTCTGTGTTCAAACGAGGCATGTTCCTGACCAAGGATGCAGATATTGTAAAGTTTCAACGTCTCCGAGTATATATAATATATTGATATCGAAACGCCATTACATCTCCTTCACAATTACACCTGTACACGCATATTATGTTTAAATATGCTATTATTAAAAATCTTATTCATTCTAGAGGTCTGCATTCTGTCAATTGTAGTGTTCGTTTCAGGA